CTTTTTTTAATTATACCAAATTTATATTTACATATTAACCCTCTATATATATATATTCTTGAATTATATTTGCCTTCTGTTGTAGTGCTCCTAAAATGTGAAAAGTAGGATGAGTGGTGGCAAGATGAATCATACTTCAGTCAATCTGACGTTGAGTTGGAAACAACTAAAAACCTACGAGAGTTGTAGCTCAAACTATGTTTTCTTGCTTGGTTGATAGCTTCTTGAATTATACTTGCAAGATCAGAAAAAGGAAGAAGAAAACAAAAAGAAAAAAACATTTGAGTTTTTATTGCTCATTGAAAACTCTAAGATGCATTCCCTGGATGAAGCATTAGCATAGTAAAATTACTTAGTAGTACCGTAAATCTCAATAAATTAATTATTAATAAGACAAAAATATACTAATAAAAGATAAAAGGAGTGAAAAATCAGTCCACATTAATTATTCATTAATCGATTTCGCTCTGTTCTATCATGTGACAACAGCTCCGAAAGAGTGGGACCTCTGGATGTACTATTTTGTTGATAATGGGCAGCTCTGCTTTTTTTTTTTTTTCCCTCTTTGGTTCCATACTTTTTTTTTTTTTTTTAGAAAAGATAGTTAGAAGTTAGGTTAATATTTATCTTTAATATAATTTAAATATTAATCAAAAGTGTAATTTATAAATAATTTTATTGGGTTACAGTGGTCATCAATGTACTACAACGGAAAATGCTTCTTTGACTCCCATACTGCTTCTACGTGACAAAGAATGACAGGTCCAGGTGAGTTTTTTACTTCACAAAAATAATGGGGGGTGAGTCCGATTTACTTTACTAAAGAAAAAGCTGCACCGAAGAAAAAACAAAGTGAATGCAACTTGGGGCAGCACATGGGCTGCAAGAAATGACAACAAACTTTTACGTCTTATTGAACATGTTACGTAACAAAGTTAATGCGTTAGGCAGAAGGTATTGCAATAGTAGAGACACTGTTTATGTTGTATTATTTTTGCTCTAAATAGCAGAACATCAATGAAAGATAATGAATTGCACCTCTTCAAAAGAGGGAACCGGGTGTTTCTCCTTCTCTTCCGAGTCTTCTCTCTCCACTCTACTCTTTTTCGAAAGATACAAAATGGTATCAAAGCCAATGGAAAAAAAGGATGTAGATGAAAATGGAAAAGAAAGAAAACTCAGCAACTTGCAGAAAAGCTCAGGAAATCCCCGAGAATTTGTTTAAGCAGCAAATCTAAGCAACATGAAGCCACAGCAATATAGGAGGAGCTGACATGCTAGGGAAGATGGCCTTGGCATCAAAAACAAAGCATATGGGGACGGTAATTGGTAGATTTTAAATGTTATGGTAAATTTCTTATTTCCTGCAGCTCTGACAGCAAGGATTTTCTCTTGCTTTTACATAGAGGGTTTAACAAACTGATTATTGAAACTGATTCTGAGGTTTCTAAACTCCTTATTGAATCTGGAGATGACAAATTTTGCTCACTGAGAGTCTTATTTTTTATTGCAAGGTTATGATGACTCAGCTCCTCGACGCTCAATTTATCCACACCGATCGAGATGCCAATTGTGTAGTTAATTGCCTCGCTAAGAAAGGCCCTTATTTACATTCTGCTTTTGTTTTGTATGAACATTGCCCTGCTCATGTTTGTTATCTTACCTTTTGTACTGTAATGCTATTGGGAATGACCACTTAATATCTAATGTATCATGTTATCTAAAAAGAAAAAGGAAAAGCTTAAGCACCGAGGAAGAGTGCAGTGGGGTTGTGGTGTTAAAGTTGCAACAGTTGGCAGCAAATTAAATGCAAATGAAAGCTGCACTGACAGCACAGTAGCACTAAAGTGTTGCAGAAGGGTAGCGAAGTTGCTGCGTTAAGTCGAATGACAGAGCAAAATATCTCATTCATGGTTAAGTGGCAAAGTTACTGGCGTTCGGTAAAAATTATTGCACAAGTAAAAGGGTATGTATACGTTGTATCTTAAAATATAAATTAATATTATAATAAATATTTTTTTATAAATAATTTGTATAATAAATTATAATAATTCATATATATTTTAACATTATTGATTATTAATTTTAATTAATTAGTTAGTTATATTAAAATTAATATTTATATTTTTAATAAAAATTAATTATAAAAAATATGTTTATTATATGTTTAATTTAGGTTAAAGAACAAAAGATACATGATAGGAAAACTTAAATAAAAAATACTGTTTATGTTGTATTTTTTTTACTATTGTTATAAATAATAAAAGATTAATGAAAGAAAATGAATTGCACCTACAAAAAAGGAAACTCCCATCAATGGAAGAAAATGACTTTTCACCTTACCAATTAAGAGAACTTCGGTGTATTTTCTTCTCCTCTAAGTGCTCTCTCCCCACGCCATTTCCTTTTTTTAATGGAAAACGGTATACTCTTATTAATAATAGAAAACTCAGAATACATCAGATTATAGAATAAGGCTTATCCCTTAACATCCTTTTAAACGCGCAGGAGGGAACTTCATTAAACCGAGTTTGCTCCTCATTCACATTCTCTGACTATCTCGCCAGGCTCTTACCGTGTGGTTCCCTCTCCTTTTACAGCGCATGAAGGAGACCTCCATCGTCCAAGCTAGCTGGTTATAGTCCTCTAATACCCCATCTACCTCATTTCGCCTTCCTGACAGTGCTTGCACCACAAGGAGGAATCCGATTCTATTTAAAAACTCCACGTCCTTCAAATCAACCCCACCTCCGACTCATGCAATCTGACTTACCTGAGGCCCTAACTTGCTTCTTCTCGTTTGCGAACCACCGCCCCCATTGCCGATCGATCCAAGGGCCCCATCCACATTCAAGTTCAAACCACCAGCCTTTGAAGGAATCCACCCATGCGCCTCTGATCCTTAGCCCTCTACTTAATTTCAGC